TGGAACTCAATACCTTACATACATATTCTATGTCTTTTAATTATCACAGTAACTCTATGAAACAGGTTCTATTTTTGTTTGTTTTACAGATGATGAAACCCAGTTCCATAGAATTTAAGTAACCCACTGAAGGTCACTCAAGTAGGAGGTGGAAGAATGAAGCTATCCACCCACTTCTGCCAGGCTTCCAAGACTTCGCTCTTGACCCTGGGTGCTTGTGAGTTTGCATTTGAAGCCTTTGGAAATCCACGTAACCCCTGGCAAAGGACAGGTCACCTGTGTAAACTACCTTCCTCTATTCCACGGTCAAGGCCAGAAGTGATGCCTAACTACACTGGGCACACCACAGGCCACTGGGATCAGGTAATGAACCAAACACTGCATCCTGGGACTGATGGACTGGTGGAGGATTAAGGCGAGTCTCTCTTCATGCTTGGGAAGAAGTGCTGGAAGAGGAACAGCCTTCCCTGAGCCTCGTGTGCAACTTACAAGAGAAAGGTACCTTTGGGACAAGACTTGGGGCTGTAAGTCTCCAACCACCCCTTCCACGTGGAGGTTCCTCTTCCATTGCCCACCTTGGGTGGTTAGGGGATGTTTCTATGAAAAGGCCAGGCAGGCTTTCTTAAGGGATCTGTGGTAGGAAAACTTAAGACAACCAGCAACTTAACCCCATTGCACACTCATGCACTCAGACAAGGGAAATCATTTGATGTTCCCCAAAGAAACCACACTGAGACCTCGGGCTAAAACATGTCAGGTTTTCCTGGCTCTGGCAACCTGTTTTTGTTTTTCCTGGTGCACGCAGGGCATAGTGACTGCCTGGGCAAGACGCCACTCATTGGCACGAGATGAAGGGAAACTGGATGAGAGGAGGCCAAACAAGTTTTTGTAGCCATTGGTTTTCAGCTGATTCACGGTAGTTTTCCCTGGATGGGAGGGAAGGAAAGACCGATTTGGGGCCAGGAGCGAGGAGAAGGAACCTACTCTATGGGGCTGCCTCACTGTTAGGGATTGAATTGTATCCTCCCCAAAAGATAAGCTGGAATCCTCAAAACATGATCGTATTTGGTGAGAGGGTCTTTACAGAGGCAATC